GTCCCCGTGTCCCCACATCCCCGTGTCCCCGTGTCCCCATGTCCCCGCATCCCCGTGTCCTCATGTCCCCGTGTCCCTGTGTCCCTACATCCCTGTTTCCCCGTGTCCCCGTGTCCCCGTGTCCCCGTGTCCCCGTGTCCCCACGTCCCCGTGTCCCCATGTCCCTGTGTCCTCATGTCCCCATGTCCCTGTGTCCCTACATCCCTGTTTCCCTGTGTCCCCGTGTCCCCGTGTCCCCATGTCCCCGTGTCCTCATGTCCCCGTGTCCCCGCGCAGCTCAGCAAGATGTTCTTCCTCTTCCCCGACCCGCACTTCAAGAGGACCAAGCACAAGTGGCGGATCATCAGCCCCACGCTGCTCGCCGAGTACGGCTACGTGCTGCGCCCGGGGGTGAGCGCGGAGCGCCGCGGCGTTCCCAGCCGGGGCGGCGTTCCYGGCAGGGGCTCTGGCATTCCCCGTGGGAGCTCCAGCATGCCCAATGGGGGCTGGCRTTYCCAGCCTAGCTGGCATTCCTGGTGCGGGCTCTGTCATTCCTGGTGGGAGCTCCATCATTCCCAGTGGGGGCTGGCATTCCCAATGGAGGCTGGCATTCCCAGCCTAGCTGGCATTCCTGGTGGGAGCTCTGGCATTCCTGGTGGGAGCTACAGCATTCCTGATGGAGGCCAGCATTCCCAGTGAGGGCTCAGGTATTCCCAGTGAGAGCTACAGCATTCCCAGTGGGGGCTGGCATTCCCAGCATGGACTCTGGCATTCCCAGCCTAACTGGCATTGCTGGTGGGGGCTCTGGCATTCCCGGTGGGAGCTACAGCATTCCCAGTGGGGGCTGGCATTCCCAGCATGKACTCTGGCATTCCCAGCCTAGCTGGCATTCCCAATGGGTGCTCTGGCATTCCCGGTGGGAGCTCTAGCATTCCCGGTGGGGGCCAACATTCCCGTCAGAGGCTCTGGCATTCCCAGCCTCGCTGGCATTCCCGGCGGGCGCTCTGGCATCGCCGGTGGGCTGTGGCGGCGGGCGAGGGATGATGTCGGGTCTCGCCTCGGCCTGAGTCACGGCGCCCGCGGGCCGGGCAGCGCCGGGACGTGCCGGTGCCGGCTCCGGCTCCGGCACCGGCGGCGATGCCAAGCGTGCCCGCGCGCCGCCAGGGCCTCGTTTACACCATCACGGACGTGGCCGAGGTGCACGAGTGGATCGCGCGGCACTTCRGCGGCCACCCGCTCTTCGAGGAGGTGCCGCTGGGCGAGCTGGTGAGCGCCGGGGYGCGGCGGGGGGGTCTGCAGGGCCCCCGCGGTGCCGCACGGCCCCCGCTCCGTGCCCCGTGTCCCCAGGGTGACGACCCGGTGGTGGCRCGGCTGGCCACGGCCACCGAGGAGGGCAAGAAGGTGCAGCGCGGCGGCGGCAGCACCTTCCCGGCCGTGTTCCGGCGCGTCGAGGACGCGGCGCTGCGGGAGGAGGCGTGAGGCGCCCGGCTCCATCCCGGCTCCATCCCGCGCCGGCAGCGGCCGCTTCCTCAATAAAACGGGACTTGGGGGTCCCGGGAGAGACCCCTGTTTGATCCCGGCTCCTCTCACCTGCTCGTCGGCTCCGTCACCCATCCGGAGGGGCACCGGGACACTTTCCCCTTCCSGGTTTTCCCGGTTTTGCCCGTTTTTGGCAGCGTTGCTGCGGAGCGGGAGGATTGGGCCCCCGCGGGGCCCTGCGCGGGAGCCGCTCCCGGCGGCTGCCTCAGTTTCCCGGCGCTGGCAGCGGTTCAGGATGAGCTCAGGCTCCCGGGAAAGGGGAGCGGATCCTGGCCCGTGGCGCGGGGAGCCCCGGAAAGCCCCCCCGACCCCCCCCGTG